TATATTAAACTATTAAATTTGAGATTAAAAATACTTAAGACCTAGCCCCGGAGCATCGCCCGGGTCTGAGAGCTAGTGTAATTTTTATTACTCGTTATTTCGACAATAGTATTTATTCCTGTGGTCCTAGAAACTCTTTCCGCTCAGGCTGGATATGAACTCGATCAAGTGACTCCCTGCAATGTTGTAGGTTACAACTTTAATCTTAAAAGTTTTACTACATTCCCTACAAAAAATTTCCGAAAAACGTATCCTAACTTTCTTTCCGAAAAATGCTGGTCATTCCATAAAATCTTGATAATGTTCGGGTAAACATCGGATTATTCGACTTCTAATCTTTTCACTTCATAGAAACCGAATCTTATCCGGATTTAATGTTTACCGGAATTTATCGGAAATGACCAGGAGTTTGTATATGAGTGCTCGAGAGGGAAAATCAGTAAGTAAAAATTTGGACCCTAAAAAAATTATGATCGACATTTTGATAATTTCAGTAATAAATTATTGTATATTACTGAAATTATCAAAACTCCGATCATAATTTTTTAGGTCCAAATTTTTACTTACCGATTTTCCCTCTCGAGCACTCATATGGTTTATTCCGGAAGAATGAGTATTTTCCGGAACGTTATAGTCCGGAGAAAGTCAGGATACGTTCTTCGAAAGATTTATCCGGCATTATAAATCTCGAAATTTTAAATTCCAGACGGCCATTTCACTCATAGTTCATAAATGAATTGTTTAATAGACGTTTTTGTGAGCGTAATGCTATTAGAGAAACTAGAGATTGGATAAATATCTGGTGATTTGATTTTGGATTCTTAAAAAATTGAGTTATTTGAAAAAAAAAATCATTGAAGCTCGAAACATTTCAAGCTTGTGCCAAATCATTGCTCGAAATTCATCAATTCCAATCTCTAGGAAAAATGTCTGGACCATCATAAACTACAATTACCGATGATAATAGTATTTATAACGTCAATTTAAATGAATTTTCCAACTTATAGACAGTTACCGATTATAAATGCGTTACACGTTTCGGTGAAAGTTTTATCTACACTGAATCATATTCATTATATATGATCTCAATATCTGTATTATTTCAAGCGATTCTATTTATTAGTTGCGGTTCTCTGGCTGATCATGGAAGTATGTCGAGACTCAATATTTTATACTGCACTAGCACATAAAGAATGTTTGAACATTAACTTATTTATGATTTACATGTAATTTTAGATTCGCGTAAAAAATTTCTTTTGTCTTTTTCTTTTGTTGGCGCACTTTCGACAATTGCATTTATAACTGTTGTTGATCCTAGTGAGTATTCTGAAATTTTCTACAATTTTATGTTAAGCAATATCTATTTAATTAAAATTTCTATTATATATGCAAGAATTATATTGGTTGGCTGGATTATTTACTATTATATCGTATGTACTTATTTTACATTAGGTTCCCAAATTTTCTTTATTCATAATATTTTACATTATAATATTCAGAAATTGTTGTTACGGTGCTGCATTCCTCTTCTTCCTAGCATATATTCCAATATTTTCTCGATGTCATTCGGATGTCATCAAAGCAAAACATTCTGGTGCATCTTCTGCTGAAATCAAAGCGTTGGAAGATAAAATTGCCACACAATTATCTTCTTATTCAATGGTCGCAGATCTTACTGGTGGTTTGGTAGTATTAATTGCAGGATTAGGAATACTTTTAGCAATGAATGACTTGACCAATTCGATTGGTTTTCGGCTTGCTTTAGTACTTTGTGGTGTATGGTGGCTGGTGAGTTATTAATTATTACAGTATATATCATTGAAAAATAAAGGTCCGAACTTATGACCAAAGCAAATAAATGTATTTATATATGATAAATTATTTAGTTTTTTCTTATTTTTCCCACAATGTGGTTGACTAGTAGACCTAGGCCGCCCTTAACTAGGTAATTTTTTTGACTATTTTTTGCATGATATATTTGTTATGATATTCTAATATGCTCTTCAATTACTTGTAATAGAGGTGTAAATTATTTCGTATATTCATGGAAGCGTGTAGGAAAAACGTTAATGTCAACTCGCGAACTTTGGCAAACTATGAAACTTCTTTTCGCCTGGTTTTTTATATCAGATGGGCAAAACACAATAATAACAGTTTGCGTTCTATTTGGTAAAAAAACTCTTGGAATGTCAGATACGGAACTCTCAATATTTGCCATAATTGTTCCTATATGTGGTGTAATAGGTATATACCTATTACTTTTTGTACAAAAAAAATTTAATTTATCAATCAAGACAATGATCATATTAGAATCCATAGGTATGAGTTTATTACCATTATATGCTATATTAGGATTTTGGTTACCATTTGGATTGGTAAACAAGTGGGAGGTTTGGATGTACTTGGTATTGTTTGGATTGCTCGTTGGATCTTTACAAGGTTATTGCCAGGCTTGTTTCGCTATTATTTTACCCGAAGGACACGAAAATGAGTTTTTCTCTTTGTTTCAGATTACTGCAAGGGTAATTAAATCTATTTTGTCTACATCTATTTTATATGTATATTGTTCATTATTGAATTTTTATTATTCTATTTCATGAAAATTATGAAAATAGGGATCAAGTGCAATAGGTATTAGTAAATTTCATATGAACGCTTTTTTTTTTCGTTATTAAAAAAAAGGCTCGGACTCAATTAAAAAAATTTATTATGTATAGGGCCTCTCGTTTCAGGTGCTATCACAGATTACACCGGCAATATAAGACTCTGTTATTGGTTTTTATTTGCGATAATCGCTTTACCAATTTTCATAATAGCAACTCTTGATATTGAAAAGGGCAAGAGT